TGAGTTGCGACATTCCTTGCTTTCGTCTTTCTCTCAGCACATGGCTCTTTTTTCTTCCCTTCACCCCATTTATGGTTCCACTTCACTACCTTAGTGTCCTTTTGAAGTTCACCTTTCATACCCTCAGAGATGTCTGCTGCAAGGTAGGTCACTTTGCCTTTTTCCATGCTCATTTTTCTCATAATCCTGCACTTTTTCGTCTTCTCGCTTCCCGCAGAGTATGACAGAGGTACTGGTCAAAATCCCCCTCTACAAAGTTCTCTCATATTTTGTCTCATACGAGTTTTCCTTCTGTCCCACGAATCAAATCTCGCTGCTCTGCATCCGTGAAGTTCACAAGGAAGACAAAGCACTTGTCCTATTCAGACAACGCCCAGACCTTGCGGGAGGCGCGCTCATATTCTGCCAGGAAGTGCCCCGCTGACACATATATCGATCTACCTTCTCAAGATCGTCTTTGGTCAGTTGTTCGTCACCTAGCCGGTATTTATCCCACATGTCATTATAGAACTTCCTCCATGATGACCCCGCTATCCTAATTAACCCACCGACTTCCCCCTTCAAGCCTATATGAATATACTTTATAACCTCCTTCAGCATCTGCTCCTTATTCCACTTGCAATGGGAGGCTATCTGTTCAAACTTATCAAGGAAGTCAGAGACACGATAGCCTTTAAAGAAATCGATCGCAACCTTGGGTAGGTTGTCTCGCTCCCAATCTCTCAGACCCAACAGAGAGGCGAGTTCCTCGACCCCGATCTTCCCTTGAGAGTCTTTCATCTCGAGCTTTCTCGACCCCTTCACCTGTTGAACAAACAATGAACGGTCTTAGGGTCGAGGCTCAAAAGAAGTTACGCATGTAAGTCAAATATATAATATATCCCACTCAAATTATCCCGATACTTATCCTGAAAGCGCACATAAGAACCTATTTAGAACAACGGCAATACCGAAGAGAGTCTTTAAACAAATATCCATCTGAAATAAAACACAAATATTCACTGATAAAAGCCCTCAAATCATAACTCAGGCACTAGCCAAATATCATTTTTATTATCAAGGAAGGATACAATATACATGTCATATAGGTGGATACTCCAAACATGAATCCAAAATACAGTACAACCCAGGATAAATATCATATACTCGAAACAATAATTCACAATATGATAAACACAATGTCTGCTAGGGTTGTAACTGAAGAGCACGTATGAAGCCACTCAACTGCTAGTCATATGACAAGATAACTTTTAGAAAGGTAGTCCATATTGTATAAGGCAGAGAAAATGAGACTAGCAATGAGTAAATAACATGATATGCTATCCCTTCAACTCTTAAGCGAAGCATATAATATAGAGGGACGGTGAAATCTTCATGAGATAGCATCTTGACTCTTGAGCCCCGCTCTAAAGATCAAGCCCCACCGCAGCCCTCCCTGATTCCGGCGCTTGCACCTCACCGACCCTATCATGGTCAGATGGACAACCCCATTCATACCTCTCAAGGCAACGAACAGCGAATCCGCGCCCTTACAAATATGGTGGCCCTGCTTAACGCAAGACGAGCCTAAGTCCCTACTCGAGAACCGCTCTCACTAAGCAGTACTTGTTCCACTTGGCCATCGTAGTTTCGCCAAGGTATTCTCTCAACAGATAATGTAGTTACTCTCCTATCATAGGAAAGATAACAACACCCCACGAATGGACAAGGAATATAATTTCGGCGTGAGTCTCACTATCATTCTTGAGACTGATAACTGCTTCCTTAGGTCTGAATGAGGGGATAACAATTCAAGAATGCACTTCCACTGAGGACACATTATACACGCTGACTGACTCCCTTCAGGAAGAACCACCTTCCCCAGAAATGAGTCACCCCATTCACCTCTGGTCCCAAGCCAGATGTGGGTTTCATGCAAAGTCTATGTCCTCTTGAAAGGCAATCCATACATACGTCGTCAATCAAACATCAAACAAAATATAGTAAAAACTCATATATGGCAACGACCAGATAAAAACCGTTATAAAAACAAATATAGACATATATATTACACGTACTTAAAACATAAGCCGTTCTTTGGGTTAGTCAAACCGCTAGCTAAGTAACCACTACTTCTCAAACTTTTATTGCAGTTACATCTAGACAATCTCCTAGGTAACTCAACTCACCGCCAACTGATACCATCAGAGGGTCAGGGCTTAGTATTCCTCGCAGTATCTATCATACCACAACTCAGTATGAGCTCAAGGAAAGACCTTTGCAATCAAACCCCTCACTTCGCACTTATCAGTCACCCCCACATCCATGTTGCTCATGTATCAGAAGCCTCCTCTAAAGCGACACTCTATTGACCAGGGGGAGACGTCCCAGTTTAACTCAACTACCCCCCAAGGCGGGCTTAGCACAACCATTACGTAATGAGTCAACGCTTTAACAATTATTAACAGAGCTTGCTTCAACAATGAACACACCCAACAATGTTGATGCCGCCTCAACTCAACCTAGGCCGCATCAGACATGCCATGTATCGCCCAATCATTTAAAAATTAGTTAGGATAACAAGGTGCTCACTGAAACAACTATCACATACGTCAGAGTATAGTCAGCACTTCCTCCCTCAAGTAAATCGCGCATATGCTTATAATCAGCACTTCACAATTAGGCCACAGTCTTAAGACACCTCCAAGGATAGTCAAGGTATAAAGCAATCAACCATATACGTTTAAAGAAAGCTTCTCATTTTGCCTAGTTCTCACATTCCCATACCCGGATGTCGTTCCACTAGGGACAATGGTAGGCAACCGTTATCCTCGGCAACGGCGCCACCTGTGGAGCGCATCGGTCCAGCCCCGCACAAATGGGGCGGGACCCTCCCGGCCATGTCACGCAGGAGTTGGTCTAATCCTCGTCGCGAACACACATGCAACTTTTGCAAGCCGCTCCGGCCGAGTGCGCCAGCCATACCTCTTGTGAGCCCCTATGGCAGGATAGGGCCTACGCGAGGCACGACTTACCTCCACCTTACGAGAGTTGTCACCTCCCTTCGGTGGGCGTAGTTACCCGCCAGCTCGCATGCACGTCGATCGGTCCTTGTTTTAAATGGATAGGATAGGAACATTTCGTCAACACCCCACCGTGCCGGAATCCGAGCAGGCCTGCCAAAAGAAGCACGTGCTCAAGGTCCTTGATTGCCGTGACGGCCACCCGGGGCCTGTATCACGTTCGACTTACGAGATGTCAAAACGTAAGTCAAATAATAACGACAATAAATAATAAAAATTTAAGGAAAATTTAATGTCGAAAAACAGTGGACGAGCCTGCTGATGCCAAAACCAAAGGGGATAGCCTCGCCAGACCCTCTACCCCTCGGTTGCTTTGCGCTACTCTGATATCCCCGCGTCGTCGCCGCTCGATCTCGATCCATGAATCTCCTTGATGAAAGTCCTACGCTGTAACCAATAGTGAAAGTCCGAGTCTAGCTTTGACGAACGTCTAAATAAGCGAATACTGCGCGACGCGCAAATCTACCGAAACGTCTTCAAAATCACGATGTTGTCGATGCCGCTGTTCGTACGTACGCACAGTCGCAAGCAAGCGCACCAATCTAGAGACATATCCTTTTTAATCCTAGTTTAATCAGAAATAAAAAAACGCGGCCGGCAACTGCGCAGGCCTTTCGATCATCAACAAGAAGAGATCATGCGTGCCTTAAGCCTACGCGCCCACACACTCCCCACTCTAGTCAGCCATCCTACCAGCATAAACCAAAGACACAGCCGTGCTTCGCGCGGTATACTTAAAACCAACTTACTTTCTGTCACTTGCAAAAACAAGGGCGGACACCCTTGTAAGGGTATTCGCATCGACACCGCTGACTAAGCGAGGTTGCACTGCCAATTTGCCCATTTGCCCCTAGGCACGAAAGGTCGCTTCCGGACCTTCCGGAAGCTTTTAGACTTGACCTCTCGGGACTGTAGAAGCTACGACTTTGACCATTCAGGACTGTACCAGCTACGACCCCTACTTAGTGAGGACTCCTACTCGGCAGACCTACGGATGGAAACCCAGCGACCTGAATACCTATAACATCAAACAGGCGACTTCCAAGACACAGGTCGTGGGTTCAAACACACACAGGGCACTGATACTGTACATGGGTAAGGACGAGGTCTAGGGATCGAGCCCTGGAGACAGCAACTGCTACCGTAAAGGTGAAAACTGTTTCAGATTAAAAAAAAGAAGAAAAAAAAAAACACAAAAAAGCAAGAAACAGCCAAACCCATGTGGCTGAATGGACATCCATCAACTGTTTAGTGACAAGTAGTTGTGTTATCTGGATGCTGCAACAAGAGGCTATGGATTGTTCTGGGGAAACAGGATTGACTGAATAACGCCTCATCTCCCAGTTGAGCTGCGAGCACGCTGTTTGTTGATTAGTGAACTGACCATGATGAAACAGTTGCAGTAGCCAGATAGATAATGGGAGCATTTGAGCAGTAACTTCCATCTGCATGGAAGGTTATGCTGACATGAGGGCAGTTACTAGAGGCACGTATTTTCCCAACTCTTGGTTGAGTGCCAGCAGAATTCTTTGTTTCTGAATCAGAGCTTTCTGCTCATTGCCAATGGGGTGAGGATGCACTTCAAACCCTCCTGTCAGCTGGCTGAGGTCCTTTTTTTCTTTAGGTCTTTTGCTAACCAACATGGTCCATATTCTAGCCTCTCGAGATTCTTCACGAATACGTCTGGTCTGTATGAGTTCTTTCCACCTCTCCCGCTAGACCCCAGGAGATCCTGCACTTTGCCATGTTGGGCTCTTCTATTCTAAGCAAGGAAGGGGTCAGGGAGGCCACAAAAGAAATTGTGGGGAAAGCGGATTTTTCTGGCATGGTGCACATATTGATTTCAAGGGGCATATTTGTGAGTTTTTAAGTGTTCCAAGTCCTGTGGGCAGGTCCTTTTAACCTGTGATGTCATTGTGGTGTCTTGGTCTTGAACAGGTGCATCTTTCCAAAGATGATGCGAGGCAGCAACTTCTTCGAATTCTACGGTCACTGCCCTATGGAAACTCTGTGTTTTTCACTGTGCGAAGGATCGAGGACCCAATCGGCCTTCTTCCAGGACGGCTTGTTCTTGGCATCAACAAACGTGGGGTGAGTGTGTGCACTGTCTCTCTTTTGACCAGCACAGAGAAATGCTAGTGTCCTTTGTGTCATAAGTTGCATGCAATAGAAGAAATCACTATGCATTTACCCGGGTGGTGGCACCTGTAAACCTAGGAAGATTCTCACGGCCGGCTGGTCCTGCCCGGCTGGGCACCCGGGCGTGCAAAAAAAAAAACAAAAGGTTTTTTTTTTGGTTTTCTGCGCCCTCCCACAGGACCCCAAATCCGGGCTCATTTTGTTTTCTGCGAGTTGGCTGTCGGGGGGGGGGGGGGGGTATAAGTTGGTTTAAAGGGGCTGAAGGGGTTTAAAGCATACCTGCGGCGCACCGACACTGTGCGCTGTGCGTGGACCCGAGGGGTTTGCGCACCGGCGCGCCCTGCGCATCTGGGTGTGCAGTGTGGGCTGCACGGTGCGCTGTGCATGTCTGGTGTGCTGCGCGCGTGTGCGCAGTGTATATTTCCATGTTCTAGCGGTAGACTCATTCGATTTTGCTCATCCCATCGATGAAAGTACCAGGAGGCCAGCCGCGAGGTTCAAGACTTACCTGCTCTCTCTCTCTCTCTCTCTCTCTCTCTCCCCGCCTGACTTCTTCGCTGCTTCCCATCTCTCTCTCTCTCTCTCTCTCTCTCTCTCTCTCTCTC